AGCAACTACTCCCCGCTATCAAAGTGATGGTCTTTCACCCATAAAGAGAATTTGTCTTGAGTAGAGTTTCCCGCTTAGATGCTTTCAGCAGTTCTCTCTGACCAACGTAGCTACTCAGCGCTGCGACTGGCGTCACAACTGATACACCAGAGGTTGATTCAACCGGTCCTCTCGTACTAGGGCTAAATCTCTCAATTCTCATAAACCTACCAACGGTAGATAGGAACCGAACTGTCTCACGCGTTTTACTCTTATGTTTCCATAAGTAACGGACTATATCTTCATCTTTGCATACATCTCCTGTCTACAAAGAGTCGGCGTGTTATACGGTTTCTAATCAGAAACAGTATCCCGATCTTTGCAAAACTGCTGCCCTTCCTAACTTGTATTGCATCTTGGATACTCTTACAAGCTGGGCTTCGGTTTTGCTAGATCGGAAGTCTCTACGGGGAATAGTGTTCTAAACTCAGATGCAACTGTATCAGAGAATATGTTTTTTTGAATCATTTAATTCTCCAATTTGATCAACTAATCTACACATTTGCAGAAAGTAAATTTTGCATATTCTTCCCTCGGTATTACCATGTGTATTCAAACAGTCAAGGCTTCACCGATATAAGCCGAAACTAAATAATTGCTTACGCATCTATTAACGCAGTGTCTTGAAAAGTTCTACGTTCTAAACCCAACTCACGTCTTTTTGATTCTCTTATTTCTAAGAGCAAGGGACTTTCTCTTTTCCCAAATTGAATCAGATACTTCTATTCTAAATCTCCGTTGTTGATCACGAATTTCCCTAATTTTTTGCAAACCTTCTAAACTTCGATGCTCTTCTCGTTCCACATCATACGTAAAATCTCTTGGAATAAGAGAAAATCTATACATTTTCGAGATTGAAGAGTATTCTGTCTAAAGAAAGGTTCTACGTTTGATAGAAGTCTTTTTAAAGAATTTAAATGGATAATCGTTTTTTTGAAGTTCTTCAATCATATAAATTTATATATTTTTTTTGGGAATCTAACTTAAAGTCTCTGGGGGCGCGTCGCTTCGCGCCCTGCGGATTTACCTGCTTGGTATTCCGCATATAGTTAAATAATAAGACTAAAATTTTTGTTCTTTTAATCACGGCAATGAGTTTACCACTTTCATCGGCGAACAACCGAACCTTGGAACCTTCTTCAGCTCCAGGATGTGATGCATGTTAATCCTACGTTTCCGCAGGCATAGACTATATCATCATCTTGCACAGACGAAGTGCAAGAGTTTGGCGTATTATGAAATTTGTGGTTAGAAGAAGCGCTTAAGCGAAAAAGACAGGCTAAAATTTGCGAAAAGAGTATCGCTACTATTACGTTATTTTCTAATTGCAGTCCGCTTCGCTTTTTATTAAAGTAACCTCTTCGTGCCATTTTTTTTTCATCTCATACTCTAAGAAATCTAAAGAACGGGCTTTCGAAAACAGCAAACGTTCGTTTGCGCTCACATTTTGTAATTTAGTCTAAAAAGACTTTGATATTGAAAGCCCCCACATTATTGATTAGATTTTCTTATTTCTTCAGTCGTTACACGGTTAAAAGAATTTATAAAGCATACTTGGTATCTCTGACTCAACCAGAGGTCGAATAACCTGACTAAATTTCTTTGCTTCTGAATGTTTACTTCCAATAGAAAGTTCTTTCTTTGTTTGTGAAGTTTGCTTTTTACATCAAAATTTAGTTCGAGTGTATCTTTTAACATCTCAACTTCAACTAATGTAAAGTTGTTTGTATGAAGTTTAAAAGCCTGACAATCTGTTTTCAGAGAGCCGTCATCTAGATACCAAACAGCCAATGCTAAACTAGAATGGAAAATTGATTTTCTATTTGTGGGAGCGATCTTTTTTCCTTTTTGATAAAATAGTTCTCGATAAGTAGAAAAAAGAGGCAGTGTGTAAGTATAAAAACGTGCTTTTTTATAAGTCTTCTGAGTTCGTTTATCATAAATAGTATATTTAGATATTGTACCCGAATAGGGTTCTAACATCTTATGTTTCCACTCTAGATATTCTAGTTGGGCTATATTATGATAAAAACGTGCACGACAATTTTTTCCATTGTATTCTATGTGTGTATCACCTAATAAGCTTCCAACTGCTGCGCAGCCTCTTGTTTTGTTGTTAGCATATTTCATTCTTAAAACTTCGCACGGTATTGCCATAATGTAGTTGAGTATTACACCTTAGGGTTCACCGTTATAAGCCAAATTTGCATAAGGGCTCACGCACCTTATGGACCCAATTTTATTCAAGTCGACCAGTATTGTTATCATATAAGCTCTTTATCTTATATATCTGCCCTTCACAGGGCAGCTCAGACTATGTCTTTTACTATTTTTTTCATATTAATTTCATGCAAATAAAATAGCAAACGGGCGCTCGTGGCCACCGATTGGCGGGGTAATTTCCTGCGAGGTGCGCGTTTTTATGGAAAGGTTCGAAGAACGCGACTCGATTTGAATAAAAACCGAGTGTGCTGCGCACTTAGCCTAGAAAAATCACCGAGATATATTGCTGGCATGCTCATCTCCTAGTCGTTGAACGTTCTCATCAAATCCCATATGCATGTTATGCACACATACTTCGTGCCTTGATGAGCTTCGCTGCAAGTTATCTCTTTTGTTCAAAAAGAGACGTTCTTGACAATTAACCCGTTTTCTCCTCGACAATTGAGACCGCGCATAAGCGCGAAGTTGATTTCATCGAGGTGCCAAACGACTCCGTCGATATGAGCTCTTGGGAGTCATCAGCCTGTTCATTTTGTTATGGCTTGCCTTTCTTAAGTTGCTTCGCGTTTATGCTTCGCAACACCGTTGTGCGTTTAAGGAAGTAAGCTCTCTGAATGTCACCATTCAGTTCAGACTATGTCATCTACTCTAAACTAAACAATATCACTTTCCATTAGCACTGTAACATCTAGTTCGCGCCTTACTCTATCGACCTTTCAGCTTCACGACTTTGAGATCTTCTTGGTAATTTGTGAGCCATTTGCGGGATCACCCAAGGGGACAGTAGTGAGATAATAATATCAAAACTATGTCCAGAAATTACTATACAATACTTTCCCTTATTTAGCTTAGGCCAACACTTCAAAGCAAATTTCTCGGTTAACTCTTGGCATAGTATTTGAACTTCAGAAAGATCGAAGCCTTGTGTATGGAGTACTGTACCAAGTCGGTTTTTTGAAGCGATACTACCATCGTCCATATACCAATAAGCAAAAGCACGATCTGTTAAGTGGTCTTTCACAATACCCGGTCGTATGCTTTTTCGGTAATTACGCTCTGCGTCTAAAAATAGATTAGCAAGAGGTAGAAAAGCCCTATGAGTTATTGTTTGAAATCGCCAGCTTACAACAATCTTGCCGTTAGCATTTCGTCGCTCAATTCGTTTTGTTTCTGATAAGCACCATCTTTGAAAAATATTATACACATGAAAAGCATAATCTTTGTGCTTATCTCCCCATTCAAATTTGATACGAAATTCTTCATGATTGGATACAGACTTTTGAAGACTAACATCACCTAAACAAAGGCCTATAGCATTTTCAAACTCTATCTGACTTAAAGAAGTAAGTTTTTCTTTATACTGACGTAAAAATTTTCGACTAGAACCAATTTGATCTTTGCTTATACACATGTTGAGTAATATTATGTTTAGAGCAGTCGGGCGCTCGTGGGGAACTTATTGGCAAGAGATTCCTCATTCCCTAGTCGTTGAACGTTCTTGTTTACACCTGCTTTCTTTTGTAAAGCATCCATCTCTTTTTAACAAGCTTCGCTGCAAATTGAGACCAGACAATGCACGCTGCTTGCATGTGCGCAGCAGTGATGCATGGTCTTGTTTTTGCAATTCACCCGATTATTTTAAGTATGTTGCGAATGATAGCAACACAGGTACGCTATTTTTTTTGTTACCAAAAATGGGACAACAGTTTCATCCCCGGCGTACCTTTGATCCGTTGAGCGAGAGCCCTTCCGCACGGGACTCCCGGATCACTATGGCCGACTTTCGTCTCTGTTCGACTTGTAGGTCTCACAGTCAGGCAGGCTTATACCATTGCATTCCAAAGCTGGTATTTTTCCAGCTTGAGCCTACCTTCGCACGCCTCCGTTACTCTTTAGGAGGCGCCCGCCCCAGGCAAACTACCCACCATGCAGTGTCCTGCCTAAAAATGGCAGTTAGATATCCTCTGACGAAAGGGTGGTATTTCAAGGACGACAAAAGTCTCCCACCTATCCTACACATTCAATCAAGGCTATCACTGCAAAGTTATAGTAAAGGTGCACGGGGTCTTACCGTCTAGCCGCTGGTACTCCGCATCTTCACGGAGAATTCAATTTCACTGAGTCCATGTTGGAGACAGTAGGGCGATCGTTACCTCGCATTTTGGACTTTCTCTTCAACCTTGAGATATGGCGCGAAGCGCTCAAGCCTGCTTGACGTAAAGTCTCTGAGGCGCCAAAAATTTAAACAAATCAGATCTTGTGTTTTTTACCAATTAAAGCATCACGAATCTTAGCTTTATGTTCTTCCGAAAGTGGACCACGCTTTCCCCCAATCATAGCATCACGAATCTTGGCTTTATGTTCTTCTGAAAGTGGGGCGCGTTTTCCAGCAGCTAATTTCTTGCCCAGCATAGCTTTGCTTAATTTAGCCCGGTGTTGCATTGACAGCGAACTTCGCTTTGGCTTTTTTTGTGAAGTCACAATAGCAGTACTCATTTGGGTAAGTGTGTTATCGTCTAAAAGGCCTGCGGCTGACGTCGCCTCAAGCATCGTACTTTTTTGAGAAGAGATCGGCTTATCTTTGCTTTTGTGTCAACACTATGTTTTTTACCAAGTCTAGCCGCTCGTATTTTTTGTGAAAACTCGGCCGAATGCTTAAATCCACGCATGGAGCCCGCCAGTTTATTGACATTATAATGGGGGAGTATTCAATCAAAAAAATACTGTTCTCTCGCAATTAACTCAAATAAGTTTGATACATACTCTAAGACTCCAAATTGAAATTGTGACCAACCATGTTTACGTACAGCATTGTAGAATCGAGGACATGAGCCTTTCCTTGAGCCACCTCCGATTGGTGTCGTTTTGTTCTTTTACTCAGAGTCGCCGTAGAGCCAATGTAGACTTTGTCCAATTCTAATATATTTCGATATACATAGACGCCGGGACTATTGGTCTCAAAATGTAGTATCCGGCCGGATTCATCAATGTTGTACCAAAGAATGTTTAGTTTTTCAAAAATTTGATCTTCTTTGTTCATTTTCTTTGTCTTATTCTAAGCGCCTGCGGGTTGTCCGATTAAATTGGGATTTCCCGCATATAGTCAAGTTGTCTAAAATTACTGCATCGCTACTTTTCTTGCGAAAAATTATGGCATAACGATATTAGTCTACCATTCATGCAGGTCGCTACTTATGCGACAAGGAATTTCGCTTGACTTTGTTGTTCGCTAAATCTCCTATATATTAACTAGTTAGTCTTTGCATCGATGATGGCTTTGCATCTTTGATGCGAAGGATTTAGTTACTTCTTTTGTTCACACAAAAGTCCGGACCTTATCTTCTACTTACTTTTTTTATAATCACTCATACGTTTTTTCAACAATCTTATATGATTTAACCAAGTATCAGTCTTGTCTTCTTTTTTCTTTACCTTTTGCAAAATACGAGCAAAATAAGAGACACATAATTTTTTTTTTGTTCGCAATCTATGATATTTCCCATTAATGTATAATAGGGGCAACAACTTTTTTAGAAGATCTTCACACTTTGATATTTGATAAATAATAAATCCACTTTTTCGTTGATATACAGACCCGCACTCTAATAAATTTTTTATTTTATAGCACAGATCCTGGTCTTTTTGATGTATACCTATAATAAACTGAGGACGCACTACTTTATTTACAAGAGATACCGTAAAACAAGCCTCTCCATCACAAAAGCCGAGGAACCAGTCTGTAGTAAGCTCTCTATTTGGTTTTGAAGTGTTATAGAATCTTTTTTTTTAATGAGTTTCGCTCTAAATAAGTTGTGACTAGAACGATTTTTTTGTGCTTCAAGGGCATGCCGAAATAAAAGCCAATCAAAATATTTGTTAGAATGAAGAGTATATTTTTCAAAAAATGGAATAATTTTGTCATAGATATCATTAAGATTGCCTACGGTGTAAGCATACATTTTACCACCAGCACAATTTACGTGTCCAACGCCAAAATAGTCTTTGATTGCATATAAGGCATGAATTGAACGTGCATTTTGTGAAATAATAAAACGGCACCGAATTTTATTTCGTGATTGAATAATACTGAAATGACCTTCAGCATCAGTAAATCCAACAATCCAATCGGGTGCACATTTTTGTGGATAAATCATGGTACGAATCATTTTGTTGTGATTAAAAAAAACAAGAAGCCTCACGTAAGGTCTCTGAGGAGCCTTATAAAAAAATGACGATTCTTAAGGTTCCGAAGGAAATCAAATCTTTATAAGTTTCCTGCGGGTTGACTCCTTGCTGTCCCATTTTTACGTTTAGTGTACGTAGGGTACAGGTCATACTAACCTGTCTAGTCAGCTACGGTTTAAGCTGCAGTTAGAACGGAGTTATTCTCCGCATATGGTGAGGTTGGATATTCTATGTTACTATAGAAGTAAGGCAGCGTAGGCGCTTTATTTAACTTTCTTCTTTCTTTTTTAATATGTTGTGTGACCTTTTCTGATTTTGAAGATTATCTTTTTGTTATAGAAATAACAAAAGATCCCTATCCTTCAACAAAGCCACATATACAATCATGTGATAATTTCATATTTTAGTTCATATTTTAGTTGGGATTACCGAAAAGCTAAATAAAAGCAAATAAATTCACCTTAGAACCGTTAGCAATCTTGTTACTTATGTCTAAACATAAGTGTGCTTTATGTTACCACAAAGTTCAGACTATTTCTTTGACTCTTGACAAGCAAGGCAGGAGCCATCGAATGTGTCGTTGCAGCAGCTTT